GTTCTTTCAATTGGAAGATGTGAGTGCGGGATAAGGAATTATACCGTTGTTCGAGATGAGTCCATATTGCGGCGGATGTTGGAAGAGCATGTATGTGTGTTTGGACAGTGGGGGAGACGATGGCTAATAAACATGCACGTAGCTGAGCATCCATGTCTCATATGCCGGATTTGCCTTCATGACCGGCGAGTCTTCTTTTCCGGAGGCTGCAGCTTTGCCGTCAATAACAAGAGGGGGAGGAGCGGATCCTGTTCCATCCACGTAACTTAGAAGACGATGAGCCAGAAGATTAGCTCGAATGGTTGCTGACCAAGAGGGGTAGTTCGAGTCATCAAGCTTCGCCGGAGTGAGAGATTGGAGGTTTCTAACGAACAGCTTGAGGCCGGTGGGTAGATGATCCATAGGATCGTCAGAGAGAGACATGATGTTGGCGTGAGGGTGCTGCTTCGGCAGAAACCCTAGCCGCTGGTTTTTTTTGTTTAACGTATGAGAGAGGAGAGAGGATCTTGTTGCTCCGATACCATGTTGAATTTTATGAAACAATAGATTTTACTCAAGGAAATAAAGGAGGATACATGGGAATATATATAGGTGGAGATCCTAATATGAGTAGGATTCCTCTAGGAAGATATCTAGCTATTACAACTTCTACTAGGAATAGAATTCTAATGTCTAACAGACTTTAACCCCTTTAAATCTACATTATAACCTTCTTTAGCAACAAAATTCTGTGAATTATGATCATGAAAAGTGAAGCAGTCAAACTACATTGGCACAACAGGATTATGATTTATCTAGCTCAAATCACTTTAATGTTCAAACTTTACAAGTTAACATAGAAATTGATGGTGAATGAGAAAGAAACGATTCACTCATACTGTGAAAACCGCATACCTGATTAAACTCTAGAACGTCCGACTTGAACCGCACGTGGTCCCCCTTATCACAGCGAATATTCTCGGATACATCGGGGATGATCGCACCTCCGCCGGGCACGACAAGGTCCCGCCGATTCGTCTCGTCGAGAATAACCAATCTTCCTCCGGCGGGGCACCTCTTAACGAACTTCAACCGGAAGTCACTGGCGAAATCGAAGCCGCAGCCAAGGGCCTCCATCGCCCTGACGGCCGTCGGTTTCCTCGCATCGTCAGTGGCCGCCGAGTGGAGCTCGTACATGGCGCCGACCTCACTGATCGATGGGAAGCCAGAAAAGAAGTCCCGCAGAGACGATCGGAGTAGGAAATGGAAGGTAGAGAGAAGCTTCTGGATTTGGACTGGAGGGGGGGAGGAAGCTCGCTCTGCTTGGGTTGATTTTAGTGGATTGCAAAATTGACAAAGAGAGGTACGCTAACAAGATTTGACCTTTGACCGGGTGAACTTTCCTCAGGAGTGGACTGGTCGTCGAACACGAAGAGTAAATGACTAAATGGATCAACCATTTGATTTTTTTAAAATTTGGTTTTATTTTATCTAGTGATTTAATTGTAATTGTTTTTAAAATTGTTTTTATCTAGTTTGATGTGACTTGATGTAATCTAATCTAATTTTAATACTAATAAATAATAAATTGAACAGATTAGATAATGTAGTAGAACGGTTGAATCGAATCAACGACTTGATCAACGTTTCAGAGACGATTCATGCTAGTAAGAGCATTTCGAATCATCTTACTTTGACTTGCTAAATGTCATAATATAGCAAATCAACACATTTCTCTCTTTTTCAATGGGTGTGTTAAATTTTAGTTAACTAGCAAAAAATAACTTTGGCTTGCTAAATAGAACAAGCTCTTCAAATTATAGGAATTCAAGAGTCATCAAATAAATTAGCAAGTCACATGATTGGAGAATAGAAAGAAATATCACTTGTTATATCATTATTCACTTGTTAAAATCATAGTTGTGAATGGCGCTCGCCATTCTCGCCTAAGGCACCTATGGCAGTGTGGCGACCATCTGACGCCATCCTCAGGCCTGGCGAGGCGTTTTACGCCAATCTCGCCATAGGCGGTCGCCATGGACGCCAAAGGCTGTGGCAAAAGGCGTTCGCTATGTACGCCAGACGCAGGTCAAGGGTTTTTATTGACTTTTTTTTTAAAAAAAAAACCCGCTGACCTGACCTAGTACTCGATCGAAACACTTCATCGATTCAACTGCCTCGCCTCTGCCCTCTAGCCGTCGATCAAATTCTCCTCGCCTACTCAGTCTCCTGCCCCCCTCAAGTTCTCCTCAGCCGGCGCAGACCCTCGTCCCTCTCTCCCGAGTCACTTCTTTGCAGATTCAGAGCCAGCGCAAGTAAAACTCCACACTTCGCAGGTCACTCAGACTTTTTTTTGTTTTCTTTTTTTTTTGAATGGTTATTGTTTCTTTACAAATACTTCGCAGGTCACACTCACACTTAGATATATTTTTTTAATTTTTTTTGTACAATAGTTTTTCACCAATGGCAGAAACTTCCTTCAAAAGTAATCGAAAGGATTTGGCTTGGAAATATATTCGACTTGATGATCCTAAAAATACAAATAATACTACGTGTATTTTTTGTAATAACCGCTACACTGGAGGAATTAGTAGAGCAAAGCGACATATTGTTGGTGGGTATTCTGATGTAAAGGCTTGTGACAAAGTGTCTGATACTGTAAGAGAAGAGATTCGATCTTATATGGCTGAGAAGAAGAAGACAAAAGATCAGGTTGTGCTAGACAGGGAAGTTGATCGACAGCGATTTCGTGAAGAGGCTTTGATTGACTATGGAGATGATGATGGAATTGGTGAATTGGCTAAATCTAAAAAGCCAAAGTTGAACAGGAAGGGGCCTATGGATATGTTTGTTAGTCATACTCATACTGGACAACAAAGTGCTAAGACAATGAATAAACAGAAGAACTTAAATGAAGAAGCACTTAAAGAGTTGCGAAGTCGAGCATGTTCGGCCATATCAAGATGGATGTGTGATGCTGCTATTCCTTTTAATGCAGTGAACTATGAAAGTTTCCAAGAAATGATTGATGCAATTGGAAACCATGGCCCAGGAATGAAAGCTCCATCTTATTATGTGGTAAGAGTTCCTCTTCTCAAGAAAGAAATTGAGCGTGTGAAGAAATCCATGGAAGGCCATAAAGAAGAATGGGCGAAACATGGTTGCTCCATTATGTCGGATGGATGGAAAGATAATAGGGAGAGAACATAGTTAACTTTTTAGTTAATTCTCCCAAAGGTAGTGTGTTTGAGAAATCCGTTGATGCTTCTGAGTATTCTCAGTATTTCTATTCAAATCCAGAGATTGAACAAACTAAAGAAATAACAGATGGGTTCTACCAATGCCTTGAGAAATTAGTGCCAGATACAACTCTGCAAGAGACAATTACTGATGAGCTCATACTCTACAGAAATGCAGAGGGTACAATGGGATTCAATTTTGCCAAGCGTCAGAGAAATTCAAAACCAGCAGGTATTCTATAGTAGAAATAAATATATGCATTACAAATTTATAATAATAGTATTAAATATAAAAAATAAACTTTTGCAGTGGAGTGGTGGAAAGCTTATGGTGGCAGTGCACCCAATTTGCAACAATTTGCGATCAAGATCCTCAGCTTAACTTGTAGTTCATCTGGCTGTGAAAGAAATTGGAGTTTTTTTGAACATGTAAGTAAGGAATCAAGAAACATTAATATGTATTTTTGCGTATGTGATGTTTCTGATTTATCACTTCAAATTTATCGCATGGTAGGTTCACAGCAAAAAGAGAAACAGATTGGACCAAGCAAGGTTGAATGACCTAGTGTTTGTCAAGTATAACAGAGCATTGATGAGGCGTCACAAAATGAG